AGCTCGGCTCGTTATCCCCTTAAAAAAATGAAAAAATAGAAAAGATTTTTAAAAAAAATGTACCGCGGGGGAGTGCGCCCCGTTTTAATCATCTTACTACTTAAAATCCGAGCACAGAACCCCGTGTGCAGGATTGCCCGGAGTCCCGGAGCCAGTCCCACAGAAGTTGGTGTTGGCGGTCACTCGTCTTTGCCTCTCTCTGTCCAAAATCGCGATGATCTCTGGAGGCAGCGCTTTTTTTTTGGGTTATTTTTTTTTTCCAAGGGTGCCATATATCTTACAATATCATACATTTGATGAATACATGCGGTGTTAATTGAGGTTGCCATGGAAGACATGCACGTAGTATAAATAAGCTCCCTTCTTGCCATGTGATTTCACTTTTGTATTCCCCAAGCCGCCTTTTTGTATTCTGTGTTTTTGCATATTGTCAGATGATGCATTAAAGATAAAAATATCTGCTGTCTCAGGGTGTAATTTCCCGAGCTGGAACTATGAGTGCATATGGAGCAGTGGGGAAAAGATTTAGCAAACTGTAGGAGAAGCAAATATACATGTGTGCGCGTGATGTGTATTTGCCATTATATGGGCAATTAAAAAAAAAATCTCCTTCTACTGCACAAAACAGCGAAAAGTATTTTCTGTGATAGAATATCACTGGGTTGACATCTTGGTGGTCTGATTTTGCCTTTATTTGGATATTTGGATGCTAATTAGTGGAAAAAACTGCTGTGGTGCATCCAGAGGTAGAACTGCTTTTCCCTCCTAATGGTCTGCCCCCGTAAATGAAATATTCTGTGAGAAAATATACACTTTTTAATACCTTTTTTAAAAAATAGCTTTACAGGTCTTATCGTTTGTTTGTTGGGTTACAGATAAGAGGTGGAAGTGTTGGCTGTGCCTGGCAGCAAACCTCACGTCACCTGCGAGGGGAACTGAAGCAGAAAGCAAAGCCGAGACAAAGCAGCGTCTGACCTTGTCACTGGGGGGCAGAAAACCACCGCTGGCTGCTGCTGGTCGTACTGGTGCTGCCGTCAAGCTCCCTGATTGCAGATGGCTCAGCAAGTGCAAGCTCCTTCCAGGTCCGTGGGGTAAATAAAAATGTTTAATGCTTGCCTTGATTTGTCATCCTTTGGGGGAGAACAAGAGAGTCACGTCCGACTGGCAGTCAAATGGTCGTGCTGTTAGACCGAGCACAGCTTGGAGTGGGTTGTCCTGGAGATGAGAGTGACTCTGGCCAGCAAAGCCAAGGAGAAGCCTGTCCAACCTGACATCTGCCCAGGACTCTTTGGAGAGGTGATAACGGGAGTAATAGGACAAAGTGGGACTTACAAAGCAGATGCGATAGCTTCAGCAGAACTGCTCTTCGCCGCCGCATCCGCTCATTAAAAAGCAACTAACGTTGTTTGGAAAACAGGCGGGGGAGAAAGAATGCACTTTGAGCATCTCTGCAGCTCTTGTGTCTGATGCGTTAGTCAAGAAAAATCAGTAAAATAAGACAAACGAAGGAGCGGAGTGAATATGGCAAAGGCAGCTAAGGAGATTCAGATGGAGAACCCAAAAGAGATAGAGGCTCACAGTACAGGGGCGACGTGCTCCCCGTCGGAGGAGCAGGCAGAGAAACCTTCCATGCTTTGTTTTAAGAAGCGGAAGAAGTCCTGTAAGAAGGGGCAGACCACGAGGGATGCATGCGAAGGAGCCTCAGAGGAGAAAAGCCAATGTGTCAGTGCCGACCAAGGGGAGGCAAAAGTTTCCAATCCATCGCAATCCTCCAAAGGAGCCTGGGCAGCCATCAAAAATCTCGCAAGACCTCGGAGAAGGCAGAAATCCTCCTTGCGGAAGAAGATCCCTTCTGATTCCCAGGTGCAGCTGGAGCCGGATGCTGAGGAGGGCAGCGCACCAGGCATCCCGAAGAAACGGGCGAGCTCTGGGGTGAAGATGCCCTGCGTGCGGTTCTCCAGAGGCAAGAAAAAACCCAGCCTCTCTGAAGCGGTGGAGGAGTCGGAGGACAGCGTTCAAGCGAATGAAGTGATGGGTATTTTGAATAAAGCTATTGAAGAGACGGAGGATTTGGCCCCAACAGAAAAGCCTGAATCCATCAGCCCGGTCCCTGCAGAGGAGGATCAGGAGACGGCGAAGGAAAGCACTGACTCTGTCGAGAAGGCCGAGCCCTCGACAGAGCCCACACCTAATGCAGATGAAGATACAGAGTGTGCTGCTCAGTCGGAGATAACCGATTTAGTGACAGTGAATGAAACAGCCCAGGAGGATCTGCAGGAGGGGAGCCTGCCCCAAACCACAGCCCATGTGGAGGACGAGGAAGTTGCTCCTGAAACGCCCGTTTCCACGGGTCAACCCAGCAGTGCCCCTGAAACCACCGAGCTGCAGGAAATCCCTAATACCTGCGAAGAGCTGCCTGAAGGGGATGAATCACAGAAGAGCATAAATCTTCCCGAGGAGTGCAAAGCCGAGGAGACTGTAATGGATTTCAGTAAGGCAGAGTTTAAAGATGATGAGGCGAGCGTGCAGGGCTGCTCCAGCCATCCGGTGACATTGGAGGCAAACGCAGGCGCCGGCATCAGCATCGTCATCACCGTCACCGAAGCGGAGGACTCTGACCACACCGACTCTGACCAGGCCTACGAGCCGTCCCCGGTTTTGCACCGTAATAAGAAAAAAGGGAATAAAAAGTCAAGCGGGAGCTTTGATTTTGGGGAAAAAGAGGGCCCGGAGGCTGGTGGTGGTCCACAGGCAGAGCAGAAAGGGGCGGGTGAGCAGGGGCACAGAACTGGGGAGCAATACGAATTGCTCCTCAGAGAAACCGCATCTTCCCTTGTGAAGGCGGCCATTCAGTCGTCCATAGAGCAGCTGGTCAACGAAATGGCTCTGGAACAGAATAAACACAACAGTTTTCTGTGATGGCGGTGATGCCCCCAAAATAGAAGAGTACAGGGAGTAATTTAAAGCTCCATTTGGCCTGGGGCGCTGTGGAGAGCTCGAAGGGCTCCCGGGGCCGAGGTGTAGTTAGTTCTGCATGCCTGTTCAGTTGTGTGTCTGTGTGAAATGGATCCTGGGACGTGGGGCAGACCCTGCTGTGTGCAGCGTGTCCCCTGGGGCTGGGGACGGCGCCATCGGCCGCCGTTGCCGAAAGATGGAGGTGCTGCAGTGACTGTATTTTCATTTACTGGCATTTTTATGTGGAGGCCGTGTTTCTGCCGCCATCCATGCCAGATTTCACCACTGTTCATGCTGTGGATCTGTGTGTACCGTGCATTTAGGTCCCGAGAGGCAGCGAGCACCCGACCCGCTGCTGGGCTGGATTTGGGGCACGCTGGACGTGGCTGGAGGTTTGCCCTGGGCTTCGGCAGTGACGAGGGAGGGTGAAGTAACTGCAGTGTTAACACGAAGACGTCAATGTCAAACGGGCTCAGGCCGGTGTTTAGTATTGCAGACAGGTCCTCACTACGTACGGCTGCCAGGCCGTGCAGTCACCCCTGCTGTCGCCTCACTTGGAGCCGGATGGTTGCAGCAAGCGGCGTGGGGTTGTTGTTTTTTTCATTCGGCCTCTTCCCCTGTCACGAGCAGCCCATGCATTTCACATTTCCAGACATGTTAAAGCACAGCATCGGCCGCTTGCCTTGCTGACCCCAGGCTGTGCGAAAGCCAAGAAAACAACGGCACTTGGTTAGCCAGGGGCCCATTCTCGCACCATTGAGCTCATTGGGCAAAATTCCCAGCGGCATCGGCAGCGTGGGCTGGGCAGGAGCGTGCCTGCTGTGGGCAGCCCCTCTCCTTCCTTTGTCTTCCTCCATCGGAATCACGGTGTCGCGGTGAAGCTGTCCTTGGATGTAGCATAGTTTTGATATATGGCATGCGATATAAATAGCGGAGAGCTGCATGCGTGTTAGCAGTCAACCATTGCCTCGCTGCTGACACAGTTTGGGTGGCAGCGATGTGCTGCCAGCGCTGGAATTGCTTTGAGCGGGGAGGAGGTACGGTGCGGGCGCTGCCGGCGTCCCTGGGTGCTGGCGGCTCCCTGTCCCGCGCTGCTCCCCCTTCGCTGTGCAGCCTGGGTTCAGCGAGAATCCCCTGGGAAATGTGCGTTACGCCCGGCTCTGGCTGGCTCCTCGCTCTGAAACGTGCAGGGAAACGCCGGAGTGATGTTACCAAAGTCCTCAGGGAAACAAAAATCCAGATGCAAGGGCCTGAGGACGTGGCCGTAAAACGCCTGGACAGGCCAATGGCTGTCAAAACCCACCGACTGCCCTGCTCCAAGGGGTTTGCAGCAGCATAGCGTGTGTGTGTGCGAGCATTGCCCCTAGTGACTGCTCTCCAGGAAAAAAAGGGCCTTTTAATTATTTGGGATTGTATCTGCGCAGCTAGGGTTTACGTACAGCTGCAGGCGAGCCAGCCGGCTCTGCTGAGAAAATTCTGCGTATTTCCCAGCCGATACAGAAATAGCAGCCGCGCTTGGCAACTGCTCACTGACCATAGGCGATGCACTGAGATTTCCCTTCCCAGCGTAGGATTTGGGTTCCTGTCACATTACAAGGGCTGTAAACTTTCTTACGACCTGGTGCGCAACCACATTTTAAACTTCGATAAAGCGTCTCCGCTGTTACGAGAGGACTGCGAGCGGCGAGTGCCACGGCTTGTTTCTGTGCAAGTCGAACTTACGGAAAGCCAGAGGATGTTCAAAAGAAGTTCCTTCTTCCTGTGACTTTATTTAATAAGTTATCGATAATTCAGTGTGTACAATTTTAATGGCTTTGTACTTCAGCCTGGTCTTTCCAGGTATTTTGCCATAGTTTTCAAAGGAGCTTTTTAAGGACTTTTTAGGGACTGCAGCACCCAAGAAAGCCATGCTGATGCCAAAGGTTGCTCATGGGATTGCTCAGGATTACACTGGGCACTGAGCCGAGGGCCGCAGCATCTCTGCAGGGCCCCGCTGGCATCGCCTGCGCAGGAGCACGTCCAGGCTGTAGTCATGAAATGCAAAATGACCCCACGGGGCCTGGCTGTCATCTCCTGCCAGACCAGTGGGCAGTTCTGGGAGGATTTCGTGTTTTAGCATTGCCTTTTAGGCGAAACACGTCTTCAAAAGAGGAGAATTGGCAGAAATGCTTTGGTCCAGGCTGGACCCTGCGACTGTCGCTCCATGTCCAGGGTTGTCTTTGCATCCTTTCTGTAGCTGGTTTTTTCCCTCGGTTATAGCTGTACATATAACTGATGATTATGTCATTAAAGTTGAATGTACCTGTTGTTTTCTTGCCTGGTGATTGAGTGGGCAGCTATGGAGAGATTTTAGATATGAAAGGATAAACTCACAGTGGTGCTCCGCTGTGTCCAGCATTTCCAGGTAGATGTGCCATGAGCAGAGAAGAATCTTGAAGCTGGTAGCAGGCCTGATGTCTTTGGAGGTTTGCTTCTCCTGTGCTCTTTTTTAGAAGGTTTCCTTTGGTTTGCTGGCCAGTTATTTCTACCACAGAGTCCTGGCTGCCCAGGTCCCGCTGTGAGGTGTTTGTGAAGGATCACAGATCTCCGGTGGCTAAGAAAAGCCATCCTGCTGCCCGACGGTTAGACTCCCTGTCAGATATCCCCTACCGCCAGAGGAAGATGCAGAGAGTCCAGGGGCAGACTGCGCTGCGCTGGAGCAGCACGGCTCTTGCTGATCCCATGCTGGGGATTTGGTTTTCCCCGCTGGCTGCTGGTTCATCTTTTCTGCTCCCAGGGCGCTGGTTGCTGTTCCCAGGCGTGGTTTGGTGCTGACGGAGTCCATGGCTGCCAGTTTGGTGCTTCAGCACTTTCTGCTAAACTCAAATGGGCCCCATGCCCTATTTGTTTCTTTTTTTCCTCTTTTTTTCTTAACGTCTTTCATGTAATTTCTCGAGGCACTTTATAACATAAAGAAAATATGGGAAAGGAAAAGAAGTTATACATTTTTAATAATGTTAATACTGTTTATTCTTTCAGGTTTACAGAATATAGACTCATAACAGCTGCTAATGACTTAATTAAGCCTCTCTACTCCTTCGTGATTATTAGAGAGCTGAACATTAATAAAATATTCATTCTTTCAGAGAAGGAATGATGAATTTGCTATTGCGAAGGAGAGGAGGCCAGGAAAGCTGTCAGGACGTGACAGCCTGGTTGTGCCAGAGCACCAAAGGGTGGCCTGGCCTCAGGACCGCGTTCCTCACTGACAGCTGAAATAAACTGGAATAACACACATGGCTTTTATAGCCCCGTTCAGGGGCTTTTGGGCCACCGCTCCATCCAGGAGCTCGTTGCTTGCTGCCCCTCTGCATTGTGGAGGTGGCAGCTTTGCAGCAGCGTCTTGATGAATTACTTGGTTCTTCTGCTCACTCCACAGCCTGTGCTGCTGCTTTTCTCCCAGATGTTTCCAGCGCTTCTCTCAGCAGGGACAATTGGGCTTTACATTCAACAAGTCCCCTATCCCTGCTTTGCCGTGTAGTTTTGAATATTTTAATTTCCCTCAGTTTTTTTACATTAGCAGCAAAGAGAAGAGAGTTTAAATAGCGTAACTCGTGCCCAGGAAGGCTTCCAGAGAGATGAAAAGCTTTTCTGTTATGTTGACACTGAGCCCAGCAGAAAACAAGTGTATCCGCTGAAAAGTTCTTTGTGGAAACTGCTGGTGGACAATGATGGCACAAACAAACATTGCATTTTCTTCCCTCCCCTGGGACACCAAAAGTGCATTAGAAATGCGCGGACTGCTTCGGGCCGGATCTGCAGCTGCTGAGGGTCACTGCAGCTCCCTACGCTTCAAAGGACCAAACCTACGGCAGCCAGGGATCTACTGTTTGAAGTCAGGATGCTGTCCCTGCAGAAATGATGGGCATTTTCATATGTGTGCTTATGTATATCAATGAAAATCCAAGAGTTGTTTTCACATATGCATGTAGGAAACTCAGTAAACTCATGAAGTACCTGGGAATCCTGGTCTGTGCTTGCGAGGAGTGGGCGGAAGCCGGACCCTGATGATGGACCCACGTGTTAGGGGCAGGGAAGCCCTAATACTGCTGGTCTTGCAGATACAAGGCTTCAGTGAGTAACTCAAAATGATGACGTGCTCCAAGAGAAGAGATTGATTTAAATAATTTGCTTTAATACTATTTTACATCTGCAGTTTTATTTCCCAGAGAAGTAGTTCTTGCTAGCTCTTGTTGGGTGGTATTAAAATAATTAAATACTTTCATTTGCAACCGGATAAAATCTCTACATTTAATGTCATTTAAAAAACCCAAACTAATCGGAGGATGTTATTTTTTATACAGTTATTTAAGCAGCAGTATAGATTAACATTGTTTTAGGAAGCACAACTTTCACATTTCTCTCTTTTTGCAGAGAATTGTGAAGGGTACAGTTCTTCTGTGCTAAATAATGGGATTTTCCTGCAATGGGATGAAAGTCCATTTAGCTGGAAAGTGGATTTCATCTAAACTGTGCAAACCCAGCATTTTAAAATAGGCTTTGTTACATAAAAACTGACAAACATATCAGACACAAAAGGGGAGAAGACGTTAAGAAAACATATTTTGCAATTCAAATTGCTAAGATGAAAGTATCATCATCTGCGACTAGAGATGAGTGGCAGTCACCCCATCAGTCCCTAAGTTAGACTGAGCAGAGATCATCCTTTCAAACCTCTCTGTTCTAGAAAGGGGACACCCCCCGCACCAAGGTGGCTGCCCCAGCAGGGTCTCTTCTGCAGGTACCGGTGTCCTTTCGGGTGGTGCCTTTCCAGCACCAAGTCCTTACTGGTGCATGGGCACCGAGCATCGCTTCTGCCGGCATCCTAGAGGGCAAATTTTAATCTTGAGAGGGATGTCATCTCTGCCATCTCACGACAGTCATCCGTGTCACGTTTGCTGCCACTGTTTGCCATTTTAACGAAG